GACTGTGTGTTTGTGGGTGTTTTCAGGGACTTTGGGATTTTGGTGAAGACATTAGGTCACTACTTTAAGTTTGTATAGCATTAAATAAACATTTCCTTTCCTTTTTATGAATCTCTGGCATTGAGAGATGTCTTTCCTCTGGTGGCGGACATAAAGGACCTGGGGGGGTTCCTTTCAGTAATAGTATATCATACCAGCCCTCCACCCTTGTTGTTCAGTAACAACACTGTATGTGGGGGAGGAGTCCAAGAGGGAACAATGCTGCTTGCTCCATTCTCTGTGGGTTTTTGGTCACTTTCCCTGCTACCCAGAAGCAAATTGGGTCCTTCTGGTGCTGATTCCTAAGTGAGTGGGTCTGTGTACATTCTAGAACCCTATGGGTCTCTCCAACGGAGTCTCCTGTGAGGCTAGGACTTTCTTTTGCTGCCGCCTCAACTCCCACAAGTGTTTTCAGTCACAGGTTTTGAGGCTTTATTTCCCTGCACTGGAACTCTGGGTGTCTCACTCCCCAGTTGTTCCTCCAGGTTTATCTGCACGTGAATGTGGGACCGTCCAGTCCGCCAGCCACCACCTTACCTTGAGTCCTCTCCACCCAGCTGCCTATCTCTGCCCCTTACTGGTCTGGATGAATGTTTCTTTAACTCCTTGGTTGTTGGACTTCCATACAGTTTGGTTTTCTGGCAGTCCTGGTTATTTTTTGTTTTTAAATTTGTTGTCCTTCTTCTGGTTGTTCGAGGAGGCACAGTGTGTCTACCTACACCTCCATCTTGGCTGGAACTCAGAAATAAGGGTTTCTGTAACCTATTGTTCTAGGCTGAACAATTTTTAGGTACAATGCAGTACTTCAGTTGTACATCATTATATAATCTTACAATAAAAACTCCACACACAGAATTGTCAAGTTAGGAAAAGAACAAAACTGACCATGTTCCCTAAAATAGAGATGAAATGAAAATCTTGTTTTCAGACAGAAAAATCAGCCAGCCTCCTGGGCTCTGGTCTGGGCTTTCCCCACCTAGGGGCACCGACCACAAGAGGCCAAGTGATGCCGCTGACCCACTGGAGTAAGGAGTCAGGGTGCCCTTTCCACACACAATAGACTGTCAACCTTGGCATCCCCCATCACCTTCTGATAACTCCACCCCTTCAGAGCCCATCCTGGAAGTGACAGAGAAGTTGTCACAGGGGTTGACTGACATCTTCACTCTTCTGTTTAGGTGAGTGCTGAACTCAGAATGAGGGGTTTACAAAGGTTCTAGAAGCTGACACCACAAGAACTCACAGCTTCTGGTTAAATCTTCCACAGACCTCAAAGCAAGTCTGCCCTTCAGGCTCCACCTAGATGCCTTGGAAAAGGGAACTTGTCCTTAATGCCAATGTAATCTCAGGGGGAGACACTGTATCTCCACCAAGGCTCTTGCAAAGTAGCAGCAACACCATCCTAAACTTGAATGTTTGTAGTGTTAAGAGAGCACCTACAGTTTCTCAGGAGCAGTTGAGATTTGGGAGCAGTCTGGGGAGAGGGAGGTGGACACATTTAGTGGTTTGGAAAGACAACTCTGTCCCCACAGGAGGAATCCTGGACCTGTACAGTAAGAGTGTGTTTCCAGGCAGCCCCCTCAGAGGTTCCCTTCTCTGTGCAGACACCTGGGTGGCCCATGCACTCTGCCACCTCTTCTGTAAAATGTGGGCTTAAACCAAATGTTCTCTTGTAGTATGAACATTCTATGAGCCTGTGAATGGTCTAAATTTATGATACCATACTCAGGGAAAAGAGTGTCCATTTCACTTGTGAAAGTCATTGGAGGAACTAAAAGGTCTGGGCAAACTGGCAAAGTGGCAGAAGTTAGATTGAACAGAGTTCTCAACATGCCTGGGCTGAGAGGTGGGGATTCTGGACATTTTCTCTAGTTTTGGTGACTGTGGGTTCTTGGTCATACTGCAGTCTTCGCTGTTTCTCTTACGTTGCTGAGGTGAAGTCAGAGGCCCTGGGATGTCTGGGTCTGGTCACTTGGACACAATCCCCACCCTGGCCTTGAAGGAACCCGAATCCCTAAGGCACTTTTGTATTTGGGCAAGGACCAGGGTGTGTCTTCAAGTGACTAGAAGTGCAGGGCTCCCTCTGCCCTCTTCCCTTAGGATCTGGTCATTTTCTTTCCTGCCACTCCAAGTCTCAAACTTGCAGGGCATCGCAGGACAGAGAGAAATAATACCAGAGTCTATCTGCTTCCCAGGGAAGTTGTGGGCCTAATGGAAGACACTATGCAGCCCACTGGGGCTAGTGTCTGGGACTCTGAATTCTTGTCTGAATGTCTCAGGGATCTGGGATTCCTATGGCCCAGCTGAACAGACCAAAGTACTGCAGTCAATAAACCAAAGTGGTCAGAGCCCTTTTTTCTAGACCATACAGATCCTTTGTGTTTTCTCTCCACGTTTTATTTACCCACCGGTAAATTGTACACTATGGCGTCTTCTCTACTCAAGCTCTCAACACCACTGTGGGTCCCTCAACCTCACTTTCTTCTTTATTAAGAAGCTAGAAATTACCATTTGAGCTTGTTCAACTTTGCTCTTTAGTTTATGACTCACTGTAGTTTCCTTAATTGTCTCCTATCTCTAGTTCCAGAGAACTGATGTGTCCTTCCTAGTTTCCAAGGTCAATCCTTCCTCTCTGTTCCTGTTCACTTGGGCCCAGATCTCAGGATCTCTTATCACTGCCTTGTTTACCTTGACCTACAAACTGACCCAGGAACAGCCTCTTTCCTCTTCTTTCCCCACCAGATGTCCTGGAGGAGCACATGCAAACCACCTCTGCTGCCTCACCTTTTCTCATGTTCTAGCTTTTGTATTCTGGAACCTGTCAGCATTGGGCTGACACCACATTACCCCTGACCTTGCCCTGAAGCACCTGCCATCCTGATCACCCCTCCTAAATATTCTCACTTCCTGATTACCCTATTTCTCTTCCTCCACAAGAAATGCAGGAATTCCTTAAGATTGCATCATTAACCGTCTTCTCTCCTCTCCATATTCTCAGTCACTGAATATACTTTGTCACCTATAGCAGGACTCCCAACCTAGTTATCTAATCCCTACCTCTTTTCAGATTGATTTCCAACATCTAGCGACCACTTCCCCCCAGCTTCTTTAGGCTCAAACCATGTCTACCCACCCCACCCATACCTCTTTGCCTGAAATTCCAGCTCTACTAGAGGCACCATCAGCATTTAGCTCTTAGGGGTTCTCCACTTGATACTAGTATATTCAGTGAGATAGTAAATTCACATGATTCTGGCAAATTTTCTTACACAGACTAGTTTCAGATCTCAAATTTTAGTCTGAACCAGGAAGCCAATATTGACATTCTTGGTACATCCCTTTATAAACACTATATGGATTAGGGGACTGAGAAGAAGATAACCTTTTGATTCTCAAAAATTAAATATCACTTAAGCTGCCTCATTAAAATAAAGCTCTTAAGTTTATGGTATAGACACTTTCAATTCCATTTAAGAACTGTTGTAGGAACATAGACTCAGGAACTCAGAAAACATTCTAAATGACACTGCAATGTGTTCACAATTTTGTGCTCATTTACCTGAAAATTTTTTCCTTTCTAACTCCAAACTCAGTCTAGGTTTATGAATCAGGACTTCAGAGTCAGGTTTTCCTTTATTTGAGGAAGGTGGCAGGGCCTGTCATTATAGACAATATTTTCCATCTTCCTCTTCCTATTTCACAATTTGGAATCTGCTCAGTTGAAAATTAAACCCAATCTGTTCCCATTTACACAGAACCAAAAGCCTAAGTGATCTTTTTTAGACCTTGGGAAACCAAACTAAATGGCTCTCTGATGCATGCATCATTACACATGGAACCAAAAAGTTCCCCTTTAGGATGTCTTGAAAGATTTCTGGGTGTCTTGAAGAGGTGTGGGTGTTTTTGGGCATTCAAACTCCTGCAGTGGGTGGCTATAGCTTGCACCAAAATCTGCAGGAAGCAAGAGTGGGACAAGGCTTGGAACTCCAGCAATGCAAAGAAATGTGTCTGAGAGGGGGAAGTCTGACATGTGGGAGGGTGTGTGTGTATGAGGGGACAGTAGGAATGTTCTAGAGGATAGTGGCTGGTGAAGGGGGAGAATGGCCTGGTGGCTGCATGTAGGAATACAATGGCTCCCCACTGGTAAGGTGAGATCTTGTCATCTGTAGGGAACTGAAAAAGAGGCTGAAAAAAATCAGGAAAAACTTGAGGGTATCTCCGAGCTCCGCTACCATTAGGTGTATGTCCTATGGTCACACCACCTGTACTGACCCTTGACTTCTATTTTCTAAATTAAAGGACTGAATTGGAGGGGCACTAAAGCTCTTTTTGGCAAGACAAGTATCTCTGAAATGTAATCAGTTTGAAGGGAATCCTGACCAGAAAACAATAATTTTTAATTGAGGCCTCACATGGGGATCCATACGGTGGGGAGAAAAGTAATGAAAAATTCTTGGGTTAGGGAGAATTTGGCCACTGGTTTGGCTTTACTTTGCTAGAAGCTGTTTGAAGGTGAGAAGAAGCCTACGAAATGGTGTAATTTGGGGTATGGTTATTCTTTCCTGAGACCTTTTGCATGGGAAGTGCAAAAGGTGGATTATATTTGCCTCAGAGGTCACACATGGACACACCATCAGCACACTCTCAGGCTGCCTTGTATGTGCCCCTGGGCAGGGAGTGCAGTCAAGGATATGCCGACTACTGTCAACTGCCCTTACAGCCTGTGCTTGGGGACCAGCTAGGCTCCCAGAAACTCACCTCAACCCCCATTCTGAGCAGCTGATGGCCTCAACAAGCCTAGGAATGGGGCCTCACAAGCTTCTCTCACTTAAAAAAAAGTGTACCCAAATCTTCTGAAGAAAGATAAATAGTTCGGCAGTTTTTTAGGGGAGTGAGGTGGTAAACAGTATAGCTTAGAACAAAGTTTTATGCAGGTAAGTCTAATAAATTCCAAAAAATAATACACATTAAAAACTTTATTGTAAGTATCATACATGTTCAAATTTACATCAACTTGATACATTTCTGCTCATTTTGCAGAACACAATCCTACAATTTCCTTACACCTTAAGAGTCACCCGCTTTAGATCTTTTCAGGCCAGTCCACCCAGCCTTCCCCTCTCTGTCTGTGATGGCATCCTCTGCAGTGTGCTCTGCCTTATGCCGAGATCCCGGTCAAAGCCCTGGGGCCATGAGTACCTGCCCAGGATTGCACCAGGCTACCCACTGTCTGTTTTCTCTTTGTCCCATATTCACCCCTAACCTGAGTGGATAACTGTGGATACTCTAAGTAAGTTAACTCCAGGTATGTTTTATGGAGTATTCCAGAACCTAAAGTCGGTAAATGATCATGTTATTTTTTAATGGAAGCGGGGAAAAGGAGTTGGGAAAAATTCCCTGGGAAGATAGGCTGGAACAGTATTGTGTAGGATTTAGTTTTCATTTCTCCTGCATCACCCAGGCCTGGCTAACAGGTGGGCAGCAGACGTGTCCTGCTCACACCCAGGAAGTATGGCCAGTGAACAGCCACTGGGGTTTGAAAGCAAATTTGAGGAAAAAAAATAGCAATGAAAGCAATCCATAAGGCATAATCTGACATGTCCTTCCCAAATAACATTCCCTTTTCTCCTTTAGCATTTATGATCAGCTATAATGTAGAATGATGCATTATAATAAAAAATATTATGATAGAACTAATTTCCCATCTGGAGTGCTATTCCACTGTTTGCGGATAGCTGCAACTTTAATGTATTTTAAACACATTAGGAATGAGTGATGATTCTCCAAACTAAGGAAAACAGCCAATTAAAAAAGGTAGAAAACACATGCTAATTTAATGGCAAACATTTTAGAGTCTCGAACCTTATTTTCGATGCTCTAACAGTAACAATCTTGGAATTAAAGGAGGGAACAGTGGGATCCACTATTTTCCCAAAAGAACATTGAGAACGTCAGCCAGAGAGTGCAGGGTTCTTGGCCCGATGCAGTGGCAGGGACAGGACGTGCCTGAGTCAGCGGCTTGGCAGATCCCAGTGTTGTCCCCAGGGACTGTCAGTGCTGCAGCAGGAAGTTGGTAGCCACATTAAGGTCATTATTTGAAGCTCTCAGGGCTTCCAAAGCATCACCTCTGGAAAATCCCATCTCCATGAGCCGGGCAACCTGAACGGAAACAAACCAGAAACCTGATGAGACTGATTACACTGCCACTAATCCACCAGGCTCAAAATATTCTTCATGTAAAGGACAGACTGAACCCCTGCCTCCTAAAAAACTCAAATTAATTTTCATTTCAGAGTGAAACTTGATGTTCAAAACATTATAACAGGTACATTTTAAAGTGCTTACTATGTACAGCCAATAGATATGCGTTTTCTCATTTAGTCCTCCTTTTAGAAATGAGGAATAGGGTGCCCAAGGTCAAGTGACCTGCCAGAATGAGCAGAGGGTGGTTGAGCTCTTTGGACTGGAAGGCAGGTCTGTGGAGGCAGCCCCATGCTTGCCTGCCTCACCACACTCCCTCACTGTCAGATCTGATTCCTAATTAATAACTTACCAAGCTGTATTTCCTTACACATTTGAGCAATTGATTAACTGAGGATTCATTCCTGATGCTGGCAGTGATTGACCATAAAATGTGTTTAAGTTCTTGGCACCACACAACCAGAGACTGTCTTGCGAATGCCCATGCCTCTTCAGCATTTCGCATTAGTCACACATGTTTTAAGTCCCAGCCGGGCTCTGTAGGCAGCAGCAGCTGTGTGCAAAGGAGGGTGACACGGGCAGAACTGCAGGGATGAGGTAGTAAAGCCACAGGGTAGGGAGGACGAGGCTTGCATTTTTTACCACAAATCCTGAATCTGTGAATTTAGAGGTTTCCTGTACTTTTACATATAGGCAGTCTCCAATGTCAAAATTGGCAGAGATACTAAAGATTTTTTGTAACCTATTTCCCTACTTAAAAATGTATAATAAAAATATTTATGACCCTGGATGAACCACGAGCATCCTTTTTTTGTACTTATGTTAAAATACACTATGTTTGGAGTAATATATAGGAAAAACTGGTACTCTTACAAATGTTGAGATTTTCAACAAAGAGGCTTCTGTGGGCTGAATGAGGCTTCTGTGGGCTGAATGAGGACTTAGTCACCATTTCTAATCTGCTTTCCTGTAGAAAACAACATGCTGGGTGCTACCCAGTGGAAAGAGAATGCCCGATATTGTCCTCCTTCCCCTGCTTAGGAGAGTCAAGGTGTGTTAGTGTGGGGTGGGGTGGGCAGTAGTTGGAGGAGACAGCAGGGTGTGGGAGGTGCCAAACTGCTAGAGGAAGAAGGTACAGAGCCAAGAGAGCAGCTTGCAGGGGACAGGGCAAGGGTGGGTAACTTCTTGGGAACCTCCCAGGCCCAGGCCCCTAGACCCCTTGTTCCTCAAGGACCCTCAAGGAAAGTCTCACCCAGTCAAGAGGGCATGTAGCGGACGCTTCTCAGAAGCTGGGGTTGTAGCCAGTGTTTTTCAAATTGAGACTGTGACCCTTCATTAGTGGGTCATGAACAGTTAGTAGGTTAAGATTAGGATTAAAATTTGCATGTAGTGAGGGTCTTGCTTCCATATAATGTCATTTCAGTTCTCCTTATTCACATATGTATGCAGTGGGCTACATTTCCTGCTGTGGGCTGTGGTCAGAAACCTTTGACAGCTGTTTTCTAAGGGAATGGCCAATGCCTGCGATTTCCAACTCAGCTCCCGAGGTTGATGGGTAGTGTGGACAGAACAGAATGGCAGGAATCTTCTAGTTTCACTTCCCACTCAAAGAAAAGCCCGCCTTTTCCAGAGTCTCATGAACATTCTTGACTCATTGGCCAAGATGTAGAGGTCTTCCTCAAACAGAGCAGAATCTGCCTTTCACTAGTTGTCATCTGTGGGATGGCAAAAACCCTAATTTGGCCCTTAGATGTAACAGAAAACAACTTTATTCCCTTCTCTGGGGGAAGCACTTTGAGTGTCTGAAGGCTGCCCCTCTTCCCCTCAACTCCTTCATTAGCACCCCACTGCTGGTCGGTTCTAGGCCATGCAATACTGTTTTCCCCCTTCCCTGGTGGTGTTTCCTCTGATGCAAGGCTCTTTCTTCCCTTTGCCCCCGGCCTGGTCATTTCCTCTTCACCCAGGGGATCTCAGGGTGCTTGGCCCTTTTCCAGGTCTCCCAGACTAGGAGGAACCCCAGAGTAGAAGTCTAGTGGCTCCACTGACTTCTGTCCTGTCCACCTCATGGCTGTGACTTTTACCTTTATTTATAGGGCCGACTGCTTCTCCCTACCACTGTATTGTAAGCCTTCCGAGAAAAAGAGCCCTGGAAGCTTTTGTTCATTCCTGTTTTCAGCATTCAGCACTTTCCAGCTTACCCCTCCCCTTTCAATGCTTGCCCATTTATGTCATCTCAGAATACGGTACCCCAAACTGAGTAAAGTACTGTTGTTATGATCTGACTGGGGCAAAGGGCAGTAAGACTGCTGTCTTCCTGTGATCACAATCCTTATGACTGTAGAGAAATGCTTTAGTAGAGTGCATATATGTGTGTATTTATATGTATACATGTCCTTGTGTATGTAACTACATCATACTGTGGTGGCCAGTTAAATTGGGCCCTGCTAAAAACCCTCAGGTATTTTCACATAAAATGCTCTCAAGACTCAAATAAGCCTACCCTGTTAGTTTATATTTGATCTTCCAGGTTTAGGATCATGAATATCTGTTAAATTTCCTTGAATTATTTAGTAACTCAAAGCTATTTTCAGTTTAAATTCTGTTGTCTACTATGTTAATCAGCACCCCCCAAGCTTGTATGATCCATAATTTGATTAGCAAACCTCTATAATGTCATTCAGGTTATTGATGAAAATGTCAGGCAGGTAAGATTAAAGAGAGAGTCCAGAACTCTCTAGAGACCTCCCTTTCTACTCAAGTGGCTAATCAACATTTTGTTAAAGATTTTTAGCCAGTTTCAACCCACTTCATATTAGTATCTGTTGCACATGTCACTAACTTATCTCTTCAGGTGGGGTGATATAGTCAAATGTCTTAGTGACATCCTGTGTCAACAGAATCAGTTTGGTGCCTTAGACCACAATGTTCTCTTTAACGCTCACAAGTTATCTGTTTGATAATCTATTTTAGGCTCCTGACAGACAGGGAACATCATTTTGCCATTCAATGCTAAGAATCCACACTCTTCTCTTTCCTTGGGGCATTTCAAATAGAGTATTCCTCACCTTGCTTTCTCTACCCTGGTCAGGACTTGTGTTGAATGTATGTCAGTGGGGAAGAAACCACCTCACTTACCCAGGTACTTTTACTAGGTTATTTCCACTCTTGGATTGAAATAACCTTATATAATATTTATTCTCATTGTTTCAGTTAAGGACCACTATTTTTAGAGGAGTCAATGTAACCCACTGGGGAGATGGGCAGCTCTACCTGCCCTCTTGTTACCCACAAACACCACACCGGGCACAACAACTGGCCATTCTTAATGACTTTGAACAGTGTGGCAAGCACTACATTATCACCTCCTTGTCACCCATAGTACTTTAAGCATAGCTAAGGACTAATGGGCTGCTGGTTTGCACTTGGCTTTCAAGAACAAATCTACCTTTTGGTAAATCATGATTTAAAATCTGCAGCTAATCCAGAAGATTCTGATGACAGGTTGGTTGCACAGGTCCCAAGGCAGAGCAGCAGCATCGAGAGTGGGACTTCAGCACCTGCCTCAGTTATGAAATGGCTGTGCTGTGTCCTACATGGCAGGTGACTTATGGTTCGAGGAGAAAAGCTTCTCTGCATGTGAAGCTTCTCCTGAGTTCATTCTTTCTGTCACACCAAATAACCATATCTGCAGTGGCTTCCGGCCAAGATGGAAGCATAGGCAGATATGCTTTGCTTCCTTGCACAACCAAAAAGGATAACAACCAATTTAAAAACAAAAACAACAACCAGAACTGACAGAAAATCTAACTGTATCGAAGTCTGACAACCAAGGAGTTAAAGAAACATTCATCCAGACTGGTAGGAGGGGTGGAGACAGGAAGCCAGGTTGGAGAGGATGTGCAGCAAGGCAGCAGATGGGGCAGGAGAGGTGGTGGCTAGCAGACCCAGTGGTCCCACATTCGTATGTGGATAAGCTGAGAGGAACAACTGGGAAGTGAGACAGACTGTGCAAACCAGGGTTCCAGAGCCGGGAAACTAAAGCCTCAAATCCTCTGGCTATAAAAACTTGTAGGGGTTGTGATGATGGGAGAAACTGCTGGTCTCACAGGAGAGTCCACTGGAGGAACCCACAGGGTCCTAGAATATACACAAGCCTACCTACCTGAGAATCACCACCTAAAAGGGCATAATCTGCTTGTGGGAAGTGAGAGAAGTAACTGAAAGTGGGGTGAGAAATGAGCAAGTGCCATTGTTCCCACTCTGACCTCTCCCTCACATATAGTGCCATAATGCAGTGAAATGGGTTGCCCTGCCCTAGTGAGCACCTAAGGCTCTGCCTCTTAAAATGTAACAGATACGCTGAGACAAAGAAATATGGCCCAAATGAAAGAAAAGATGAAAGCTCCAGAAAAAGAACTAAGCAACAAGGAGAGAGTCAACCTACCAGATGTAGAGTTCAAAACACTGATAATCAGGATGCTCACAGACATGACTGAATATGGTTGCAAAATAGAGGAAGAAATAAAAGCTACACAAAGTGAAATAAAGCTAAATATACAGGGAACCAACAGTGAAGGGAAGGAAACTGAGACTCAAATCAAAGATTTGGAATAGAAGGAAGAAATAAACATTCAACTGGAACAGATAGAAGAAACAAGAATTGAAAACAAAATGAGGAGAGGCTCAGAAACCTCTGGGACAACTTTAAACATTCCAACATTTGAATCATAGGGGTGCCAGAAGGATAAGAAGGACAAGAAATTGAAAACTTATTTGAAAATATAATGAAGGAAAACTTCCCCCATCTGGCCAAGGAACTAGACATGCAAGTCCAGGAAGTTCAGAGAGCTCCAAAGAAGTTGGACCCAAGGAAGCACACACCAAGCCACATCATAATTACATTAGTCAAGATTAAAGATAAGAAGAGAATCTTAAAAGCAGCCAGAGAAAAGGAGACA